TTTTTTTTTTTTTTTTTTTTTTTAATTTCAACTCAGTTCTCAGGACAGCTCTTGGATGAGCCTGTGCCCATTTTTGGGATGTGCCTTTTCGACAACCGCGCAACTGGATTGATGACGAGGACATGGGGCCCAGTGAGAGGAGCTGAAGCAAATGCGGCGGTCATCGTGGAACGACGCTGGTATGAAGTGCGCAGGTGTTAGTGCTTAGCAGGGATATTGGTTGGCTACTGTTTGAGTTTGTTGCATGGAAATAAAATTTGCATTTATGATTCATCTGCATCGTTTAAATGATTTTTTTTTAATCCTTCTAACATGATAGCTTTGGGACATCTTTGGGCAAGTTTAAGGCTGTGTTGATTGTTTTTACGGACCTGTGCTTTTTCCATCACGTTGTGCTCATTTAGTGCGATTTCTTTCACACTCTTTCCAGCCATCATTACTCTCTCAGCCTCGTCAATTTTTTTTCTCTGCTGTGATGTCACTAATGCGCTTGCCGCAAATGCCTTGTCCCATTGCAAGATTTGCTTTTCTTCTTTCTCGGCTGCAGATGAGATGACATGTGGCTCGTTTGCTGCACGTTCCTACGTTTCTTCTTTTCTGCGGCGTTGTTGGTTTACATTGTTTTGTAAATTTGTTTGTTTGATGTAAGTGGAGTTCTTTTGCGGCAAGTCGTATTTGGCATCTACTGTCCTATATCAGAAATTTTTAATTTTGTGACCTGTGCTGTCACTTTCTTTTCTGTTTTGTGCTACTTTCAAATGTATGGCTAGTATTATTGGCTGATTGTTAGCTTAGCTTGCTGTCTTCCAGGCATTGGCTTCTGTGTGTTTGAAGATTTTGTGCTTTTTTTTTTTTTTCTGAACTTTTCAATTATGGACCCACCTTATTATTGGCTGATTCTTAGCTTGCTGTCCTCCAGGCATTGCTGCTGTGTGCTTGAAGATTTTGTGTCTTTTTCTGAACTTTTCAATTTGATATATAGTTTTATATACCTTTTCTGCTCTTTTGCATCGCTCTCTCTTTCTTTCTTTGCTCTTGTTTTGTTCATGTGTGCACCGGCTCCTTCCGCTGTGCCTGTTGTTTTCTAGCTGCTGCCGTCGGCTGTGAAAGTGCGTCATGTGAGTGCCGCGCTCATTTTCTATTGTGGGGCTGGGGCTTGGGCTTGTGCTCTGGAGAGTTGTTGGGTTGGGACAACAGCTGCAGACATTTCTGACGATTTGGTACTGCTTGTTAGAAGTTTTAAGACTTTTTTTTTTGTTTTTTGATTCTCTGAAAAGCTCGAATATGATTAGTCTTAGGCAATTGTTGTAGCCATTCCTGGCTACTACAATTGTTCCCTTTTTTTTTTTTTTTTTTTTTTTTTTTTGTTTTT